GAACACCTCCATCACCCCTCCAAACTCCTGCATAAAAGCGTAGTTTAGTTCCCTTCATGAACAGATCTTGTACTTGTTTTTTGTACTTCTTCTTTTCTGTAAGGTCTGCCAGCGTCAGATCATCGACAATGTAGTATTTCTCCTTATTTAGGGCCTCCCTTGACTTCTTCATGATGTCGACCTTCTCACGTATTGACAACGTCTTGACCAAAATGTGTCGTGGCTTATCTCCTTTCTTCCCATCACGATGAGCACGCTCAACCTTGATGTTCATGTTAAATTTCGTACTGAGGATGTCTTCCACTTTCACGACACAATCCTCTGTTTGATCGCCTGTTGATTCCTCAATCCCGACGATCCGCAGATTATTTCTCCGAGAGAATCGTTCAGCCTTGTTGGCTTCACGATCTTGATTACTAACTCTCTGTTCCAGATCATTATAAGCTTTCTCCATCTTTCCTAGTCTGCTTTTCAGCTCCTTGTTCTTCTGTTCTAGATCATTGATCCGGAGACCCTCAAATTCAAGGGCCTTTTCCACTTTCTGAAGACTTTCCAACATATTTTTCATAGCCTTGTTCATCATCTGTTCGAAGTTGCATGATGCACCTTTAATATATTCAGCTAGTGCAGACGGGGTGACAGAGCCCAAGTCATCTCCCTCTACGGGATTTGAGGTTTCAGCTGGCCCGTCAGGAGCGGCAGCAGCACCATCCAGCTCATCGTCTAAGATGGAGAAGTTTGCTCCCTCATTCTTGTTGGCTTTCTTTGCTCCTTCTTTCTGGCTACGGCGGGTCATGATGGAAAACTAAAATGTTCCAATTGAGAAGTAAACCTTTCAGGAATAATTGCCACTTGTGGATTGTTTGAAGATGTTATCTAGAGTGTATACAAATATATCTTTTGGAGAGGTTAAGAAGCACGTGTGTTGCTCAGCCAGTCGCCATGTTTAAAGTGCTAGTCCGATTTACCAGCCCTTGTTGACGACGGTCCTAAAAAAATTATGCTGAATGTTCAAGCGTCTCTCAGTCAAAAAATATGATTTGATAGTCTTTCTTGCAGACCTTGAAGTATTCAAATTCAAATTTCAGCAATCCTGAATTCAGTCCTTGTAATGTGGTATGCAGTTGCACAAAATTTCAGACTCAAAATTTCTTCAGTAATTCTGGTTCCAATTGCATCTTCTGAGTCCAAATATATCATATTGCCATTAGCTAGAATTGTATCCTGATATCGCAATTTGTTTACAATCCCAAAGGATTAATAACAAACATAGGATTAGGCTCTTTGGCTGGGAATTAAACCTGGTCTTACTGCGGTATTAGAAAAACCAATTTATGGATTGGTCACACAAGGTAACTGTGGAGCAATTTGTTTTCTTTGTATGCTCAATCTTGGATCACCTACCGCGAATTTGACCTTGCGAACATAATTGTCTTCAGATTCATATGTTGCAGCTATTCTTCCCAGAGGCCATACATACCTGGGAATATTGTCGTCCTTAATTAACACAATGTCTCCAATGTTTATATCACGCTGTGGGACAGTCAATTTCTGTCGTGATTGGAGTTAGCTCAAGAATTCCTTCCTCCAACAGCACCAAAATTAATTTTCTGGGTGCTGCACCCTTCTCCAACATTTCTTAGCGTACACATCCTTTTGAGGAAAACTGCAATGAGGTGGTAGTATCACCTTTGATTCCTGGGTCAATAGGTGATTAGGATTTATGAATGTCTATGTAGCTTTGTATTAAAGGTTCTTTATTACTTTTCTCCTACAAAATATGCAACTGCCCCAATTACCATATTTCTTTCTCCTTTTGTCTTGCTCATGAGATGTCTTTTCCACCCCCCCCCCCTACAGATTATGGGGTCATCTGCTGTGATTATATGAGTGCAATAATGTGAGAGTACAGATTTTAATGGTTCCCACTATTTTCCCAATTTCATGCTTCATAATTTACATATGCCATTCATTTGTAAAATTCTCAAATCTATCAATTGACAACATTCCTCCTAAAAAAGAGTATCTGGGGATGCCTATTACACATTGGCTAATCTAGGTATAGAAATCAACTGAAACATACATACACATTAAAAACATGAGAACGCATATTCCCTCTCTACAGTTTTGTCTTCCTCACCTTTGCAGCTATCTTGTGTTGTTAATCTACTGAAAATTATAATGTAAAATCACAACATAATTCTTGTGATTTCATTACCATGCAGTGATGCATACATGAAATATTGTGTATGCTATATTTACATGACTGATGCCAATCAATTTTCTATCCCAACAGATCCAAACAGTCAACCTGGATTTAAGTTTGTATTCGGGCATGCCGTTCAAGAAAATTAGCAATTCAGCATCCAAGCAGCTAGCCATATTTCTCTGCTCTCTACCCTGCCTTACAACCTTAGCGATGACAGGGAGTCAATATTTACATGATGATTTCTTCACTGAACTTGGTTCCCTAGCTGCATCCTTACAGGTAAAAATACAAATCAGTGCTCAGGCAGTTGAAACATGCACTTTTGCTGCTCATCATCAATTTTCATACAGTAATATAACTAACAAAGTAAATTAAAGGATTTGTGTGGGACTTTTGTAACCCACTTTCGTCTATTTATCAATTAAAAAAACACTCAGTATGAAATTGGGCAAGAAATAAAGAAAAAAACATTATATCGCTTAATTTTTCACAAAAGATGGCATATACCACTTGGGGGTGTTTCAGAAAGCTGTTCGTAAAGTTACGCATGACTTTACGAACGACTTGGATATGAAGTGCCAGATAGGATGCCCAAAGTTTTTCCTGATGTTTTAACAAAGTGTGACTATATTTCCAATAACCTCAATTAAATTAAGCCAAAGCATTATAAATGTGTTTTATAATAAGAATGTTAATCTACATCTGCACAATTCATCTAAAGTTGATGCACTTAAAATGACTAAGGATCCCATTTGGCTTTTCATATTTACGTCATTCGTAAAGTCATGCGTAACTTTACAAACAGCTTCATGACACACCCCTAGTACTGATTAACCGTTGTGAAACGTTGAAATATCAAACGTAATGAAAATGAACTTCTCATACTTTGATGTTACAGATTATATCGAAATGCAAATTAACAGAATTCTTTCTGATTATTCTCAATTCAGACCTGACTTATTGCGTTTCAAATGATACTTCCAATGCATACATTTGAAGAAAGGTCATCACACCAAACAGCTACCGGTAGTCTTTATTCAGACACACCTTTGACAATTGTGCTTAGTGAAAATCTAAGTGCTAGTCTGATTTACCATATCTTGTTGACGACGGTACAAAAACAATTAAAATTATGCTGAATTTTCAAGTGTCTCTCAGTCAAAAAATATGATTTGAGAGTCTCTCTTGCAGACCTTGAAGTATTCAAATTCAAATTTCAGCAATCCTGAATTCAGTCCTTGTAATGTGGTATGCAGTTGCACAAGTTTTCAAACTCAAAAACTCTACAGTAAATTTGGTCTCATACCTGCCAACTGTTCCGATTTAATTGGAATGTTCTGATTTTCTGAATTTTTAGGACCTGAAAATTTGGAATATTCTGAATTTTTAAAATTCTGAATGACCAATTATTATTTTTTTCTTATCTAAAGCCAGATTTGGCTTGTTTTACCATGTTCTTGTACAAAAATAACATTAATTAATAACTATCGTTAATCAGAGCCTATCATCTCATTTTGTTTTGCTCAAAATGCTTCGGCTTCAGGGGCCGCTGCCCCTATTCCCCCGCAGGGGTGGGGTATACGCCCCTAGACCCCGCTAAGGGTACATATTTCTTATTTTCAAATGTCAGCAGGTATGTGGTTCCAATTGCATCTTCTGAGTCCAGATATCTCATATTGCGATTTGCTAGAAATTTATCGTAATACCTCAATTTGTTTACAAACTTTTAAGTTTTAATAACAAACTTAGGATTATACTATTTGACTGGGAATTAAACCTGGCCTTCCTGCTGTAATAGAAGAACCAATTGCCGGATTGTTCTTACAAGGTCACTCTGTAGAGTAATTTGTTTTCCCCGTCTGCTCAATCTTGGATCATGTACCGCGAATTTGTCCTTACGAACATAATTGTATTCAGATTCATATGTTGCAGCTATTCTTCCCAGAGGCCACACATATACCTGGGAATAATATCGTCCTTAATTAACACAATGTCTCCAATTTTTATATCACGCTGTGGGACAGTCAATTTCTGTCGTGATTGGAGTTAGCTCAAGAATTCCTTCCTCCAACAGCACCAAAATTAATTTTCTGGGTGCTGCACCCTTCTCCAACATTTCTTAGCGTACACACCCTTTTGAGGAAAACTGTAAGAAGGTGGTAGTATCACCTTTGATTTCTGGGTCAATAGGTGATTAGGATTGATGAATTTCTACATGTTGATTTGTATTGAAGGTTCTTAATTACTTTTCTCCTATATAATATGCTACTGCCCCTATTACCATATTTCTTTCTCCTTGTCTTGCTCATGAGATGTCTTTTCCACCCCCCCCCCTCAGAATCTGATATCATCTGCTGGGATTATATGAATGATTTATGTGAGAGTACATATTATAATAATGGTTTCCACCATTTTCCCAATTTCATGCTTTATGTTTTACATATCCCATTCATTTGTAAAATTCTCAATTATATCAATTGACAACACTCCCCCTAAAATATATCCGGGGATACCTACCATACATTGGCTAATCTAGGTATAGAAATCAACTGAGACATTCATACAAATTAAAAACATGAGAACTTCTAATTCCCTTCGAAGGTTTTGTCTTCCTCATGTTGTTTATCCACTGAGGAGGATTGTACTGGAAAATCACAACATATTTCTTGTGATTTCATTATCAGTGATGCATTTGATATTGTGTATGCTACAAATAAATGACTGATGTCAATCGATTTTCTATCCCAACAGATTCAAACAGTCAAGCTGGATTTGAGTCCCTGTTTTGGCGTGGGATACAATGAACTAAGTCGTTCAGCATCCAATCAGCTAGCCAAGTTTATCTGCACTCTACCCTGCCTTACGAACCTAACAATCACTATGAAAGTATATGGCATAGATGACTTCGTCACTGAACTCGCTTCCTTGGCTGCATCCTCACAGGTAATAAGAAAAGCCAGTGCTCAGGTAGTAGAAACATGCAATTTTGATGCTCATCATCAATTTTCATACAGTAATATAACTAACAAAGTAAATTAAGGACTTGTATTGGATGTTTGTAACCCAGATTCGTCTATTCATCAATTAAAAAAACAACCAGTATAAAATTGGGCAAGAAATAAAAGAAAAGAAACATTGGGTCTATGGCTAAATTTTAAGAAACATAATATCAAGTTATTATACTCTAGGAATTATAGAATTAAATACGAAATTGCTTAAGCATGAGAACTTAGCATATGTCATGAATACGGGGGATTCACAATCCACACTGCCCTCTAGGGACACCCAGTGTTAAGTCGATTTCATGTGATGCTTTATGGCAAAAGTCTAACAAAACTTATCAGCTGTTGCATTGTAATATACCATATGAGATAAGGGGATTTAATCAAAATATTTGGTGGTGAAGGTCTGTGAAGCTTATCCAGTATAAAATTTGGGCCACTTTTTCGCCCAAACTGACCATTGGTGTTACTTTTGGTCAGGAGTAAATTAAAAATCATTTTCATTAGCAAATGAAGTAGATTTGATGGACCTATTCTATTTAAAAATACATCTTCGCTGGATTGTAACTGTATATTCTCCAAATATCAAATTACACAGAAGTTGCTTTGTTAATTTTGCAAAAGAACAATTTTTGACTAAACTGGGAGTGGAACTGAATAATCTCCAGTAAAAGGAATTACTCACATTAACATAATAAATCTAATAGCACATATCATATAGCTTAATTTTTCATAAAAGTTGGAATACCACCAGTACTGATTAACCGTTGTGAAACGTTGAAATATCAAACGTAATGAAAATGAACTTCTCATACTTTGATGTTACAGATTATATGACAAATGCAAATTAACAGAATTCTTTCTGATTATTCTCAATTCAGACCTGACTCATTGCTTTTCACATGATACTTCCAATGCATACATTTGAAGAAAGGTCATCACACCAAACAGCTACCGGTAGTCTTTTTTCAGACACACCTCTGATAATTGTGCTATCTAAGTGCTAGTCTGATTCACCATATCTTGTTGACGGCGGTCCTTACAACAATTATGCTGAATGTTCAAGCGTCTCTCAGTCAAAAAATATGATTTGATAGTCTCTCTTGCAGACCTTGAAGTATTCAAATTCAAATTTCAGGAATCTTATTTTCAATCTGGAATTCAGTCCTTGTAATGTTGTTTGCAGTTGGACAACATTTCAGACTCGAAATTTGTCTTCCTCAACGTTGCGGCTCTCTCCTGTTGTTTATCCACTGAAGATTGTACTGGAAAATCACAACATAATTCTTGTGATTTCATTATCAGTGATGCATGTGATATTGTGTATGCTACAAGTGCATGACTGATGTCAATCGATTTTCTATCCCAATAGATTCAAACAGTCGAGCTGGATTTGATTTTCTGTTATGGCATGTCATACAAGGAACTAAGTCGTTCGGCCTCGAAGGTTTTGTCTTTCTCACCTTCGCGGCTATCTTGTGCTATTTATCCGCTGAAGATTATACTGTAAAATCACAACAAAATTCTTGTGGTATTATCAGTGATGCATAAATGTGATATTGTGTATGCTACATGTACATTACTGATGTCAATCGATTTTCTATCCTAACAGATCCAAACAGTCAACCTGGATTTCAGATCCCAAGATTCGGTACTAAGTCATTTGGCATCCAATCAGCTAGCCAAGTTTATCTGCTATCTACCCTGCCTTACGAACCTAACAATCACTACGGGAGACTTTGTCATAGATGACTTCGTCACTGAACTCGCTTCCTTGGCTGCATCCTCACAGGTAATAAGAAAAGCCAGTGCTCAGATAGTAGAAACATGCACTTTTGATGCTCATCATCAATTTCCATACAGTAGTATAACTAACAAAGTAAATTAAGGATTTGTATTGGATGTTTGTAACCCAGATTTGTCTATTCATCAATTAAAAAAACAACCAGTATGAAATTGGGCAAGAAATAAATGAAAAGAAACATTGTGTCTATGGCTACATTTTCAGAAAAAAGAATATCAAGTTATTATATTTTAGGAATTATATAATTATATACGAATTTGCATAAGCATGAGAACTCTTGTGATTTCATTTTCAGTGATCATACATGTGATATTGTATATGCTACATGTACATGGCTGATGCCAATTGATTTCCTATCCCTACAGATCCAAACAGTCAACCTGGATTTCACGACGGACTTTGACATGGCAGTCATGAAACTATTAAGTCATTCGGCATCCATGCAGCTAGCCACGTTTCTCTGCTCTCTACCCTGCCTTACAACCTTAGTGATCAGTGTGAATCAATATTTACATGACGATTTCTTCACTGAACTAGCTTCCTTGGCTGCATCCTCACAGGTAATAAGAAAAGCCAGTGCTCGGGCAGTAGAAACATGCATGGACGTAGAAGCACTTTTGTTGCTCTTCATAAATTTGTATACTATAGTATAATTTGCGAAGTAAAGCATTTTGTGTAGGAGTTTTGAAAGCCAGGCCCGTCCATTTATAGTTTTAAAAAAGAACTAGGGTGAAATCGGTCAAGAAATGAAGGAAAAGAAGCATTGGGGTTATGAATCAATTTTAAACAAATATATTAAATTACCATTAGTCTGGAATTATGGAATTATATAATTAAATTACATAAGCATGAGAACTTAGCATACTTCATGAATTAAATATCATGTATAACAAAATAAGAATGTCCAAACTACTCTTATCCTTAGTTCAATTTTATCTTGACCTTGAGTCTGTTAATTTTATATCGAATCGATGGTTTCATCACATGGCGTGAGTAATAGCTAAGAGGGTGAGGGAGAGAGAGAGAGAGAGAGAGACCAAGTGACATGATTTTTTGTTAACAATAATAATAATAATAATAATATCGAATATTTAGGAGCGCTAAAAACAATAAGTACCATAGCGCTTACAAATACAAATATATGCAAAGAGAACAGGAAAGTACAGTACAGGAAGTATATCAATAGATCATTGTTAGAAAAGGTGAGTTTTGAGAGATCTTTTGAAGGTGGCAAGACAGGTAATTTCCCTTATGGAAAGAGGGATGCTGTTCCAAGTCTCTTATGCAGCTACTGCAAAACGTTTTTCAGCTGCTGAGAGTCTAGATTTGGGAATGTTAAGTTTACATGTGTCGGTTGCTAAACGAAGATTACGAGTTGGTGTATATATTTGGAGGGTGTCATTAAGATATTCAGGTGCCAGATGATTGAGTATTTTAAAAGCATACAGACATAATTTAAACAGAACACGTTGGTGGAGAGGTAACCAGTGGAGCTCCTTAAGTAAAGGTGAAGTATGAGTTCTTGACCCAAGGCCAAAGATTAATCTAGCGGCACGATTCTGGACTATTTTTGACAATTTTTGTTGGTAAAATCGAAGTAAAACAAATAAAAACCTGAGGTACTTGCCCTCTTTTTTGTTTACATGCCTCCGCCACCGAAGGTGGTGATGCATGGAAGCATTACTTACATGTATTTTTTCCGGCTTGTCCGTCAGTCCCGCTTTTCGTTACCGGGATACTAACTTAAGAAAATTACATGGGTTGTAACCAAATCTGGATGGAGTATGAGCATGCAGAGAAGACTGATTTGATTGTGTGAAGTAGAGGTGACATGCTAAAGGTCTCAGACTGAAAAAGGGTGTTTAAACATACAGATAATATTTCATTACTGCGATAACTTGGAAAGCATTAAAGCAATTGAAACCTAACTTGGATGAGTACGTATTATGCGTAAAGGAGGATGGATTGATTAGATTTCGGGTCTGAGAGATCATGAAGGTGAACGATCATAGGATCTTAAAAATCTCCCAAATATTGTATTACTGTGATCATCTAACAAAAATAAAACCTATTATCGACCAAACTGGGCTCATGCATTTTGTATGGGGGGGGGGGGGGGGGCTACACCATGAGGACAGAATATAATTTCTGAAAAACCCCTTTGCATTACTGCTGTTCATTTCATGTATCTAATACAATTATAATGGTATTGTTTACAAACTCGACATGTACACTTGTATTCTTCTTCATAGACGTACATTTTTAATAAAATAAGGCTTGTGCATTTAAAGGGGAAATGGACAAGGTTGGCCGAATCCGTACGTTCCTTGTTTCTTTTACTTTCATACTTGTAGCTAATCACATTTTTGTATATCTTTCCTTTTTTCCCCCCAAAAAAATGTGTGTACGGTTGTCATCTCAGAATCCTTACTTCAAGGAAAAGAAACATATGAGCTTGCTACAGGCGTGGTCAGCAAAACAAGATCAACAACAAAAACAACAACACATGATTAGTACACACCAAGAACCTTCGAACCTTGACATGCCTTCACCCAGTGGATTGATATCTACACAACGCAGAAAAGGTGCAGGTTTGTATAGCGCTTAGAGACTTCGGTGGTAAGCGCTTTATAAGTAACGTTTTTATTATTATTATTATTATAATCTGAATCCTTTTTATATGCTGTTATAGCCACACAAGGCCAACAATTAATTATGGTATAACAATTAAAGTCAGGTTACGTCATGTACATATTTTCATTGAGTTAACGAAATGGGATGATCATTGTAGAGGTGTTGTGGTCTATTGGATTCGTCAACGAGTTTGTGGTTCGGATCCCGTCGTGCTACCAATGTCCTTGGGCAAGACAATTTATCTACATTGCGTTCCTCCACCCATGGGCTAAATGGGTACCCGGTAGGATGCGTAGGTCAATGTGATTGGATTAGCATGGGGGTGCATGTAAAAAGGCGACTAGGTTTAATGCATACTCTCTCAGGGAGTGGAGAATTTGCGCTGTAATGTGAGGAATAGTAATTGAATCCAGTGACCGCGGTAATGAGAACACTGAAAGCTTTTTGGTCGGTTGTAGCTGGTAAAGCACTTCATAAGAAACAGTTATCATCATTATCAAAATGTCCGTTTGCAGACATTAATCTACATTAAAGGGATTAGGTATCTTTGAAACATACTGAAACACAACCTTGGATTTAGCTCATGCTGCAATAACGATTATAAACCTTAGGTCAGTCAGGTACCCCATGACTTTCACAAGCCGATCGCCTGTCTGATTATCAAGATATTTATGACTGGAAATTAAAAATGTCAAAAACCGTTTTCTTAACGTTTTTTTTTTATAACACTACAGTCTACTGGGGAAAATGCCATATGTTAAAACCGGTCACGTGAAGCGCATTTTTTTAGGGCTTCAATATTACAGACAATGATAACACGTAGGGCCATGCATCTCTGATATAACATTGTTAAATGATGCCTTTAACCACTCTCCACCCCAGTGTTAAATGTGTACCCGATAGGATATAAACGTTAAAGTGGTTGGATCGACATGACTGTGTGTGCTTGAAAATGGCACAGTGCTGGGATACTCCTCAGGGAGCTGAATGTGTGCCTTATTATGTGCGGATTATCAATTGAATCCAATGACCGGGGTAATGTTAATTACAATGGCAGAGCGCTTTAAACGTAGATTTAGGTGCTATAAGAATATGACTATTATCATAATTATTTTAAGTTATATACCTTTAGCATGCATAATAATGTTTTCTTTCATCTATACCAGTCACTGGTTTTGATGAATGACATTTCATTATATAAAAGACATTGATTGTTAAAAATGTCAAGAAATAGTGAAGATGCAGTTTAATTTTTTAATAAAACGTCATGTCAAAATCATGGCAGTAATTGTCTAGTGGGTTAAGATAAAAGTTGTACTTCGATTAATGTCTATTTCTTGATATAACTGTTTAGTAAGCAGATGTGTACTTTGTCAAATTATCAGTTAAATGAGAAAATAAAAATAGTTTTAACCTACAACGTTCACCACAACAAAAATAGGAATCATTAGATTTTAATATGATTTTTTCAAACATTGAATCAGCACGACCTTCTGAACAGTTCCAGAGTGATCAATCAGAGCCAGAACAAATAGACCTATCCACAACTTATCAGCAACATTCACTGATAACACCACTCCAATCTACATTTGCACCAGTTCGATCGACCAAGCAACATCTTGAAGAGCTTGAACAGTATCTGCCCGGCATGATGCCAGTAATGGTCATGCAAGAAACACAACAACATTCGTCAAACCATGGTCTAGGAGAAGCAACACAGGACACCGCTGTAAGACAGAAACAGGAAGATACAACCCCAATAGAAACTGATGACACATCGCTATCATCATCTTCAGAATACATCAATTACCTAACTTCGGTATATCAAGGAGGGCTGTCAACTGGAATGAAACCAATCTATGAGAGTGTTGATAACCTCGCCATGCCCTCAACTAGTGGATTGGGTTCTGCACAAAGCAGAACTGATGCAGGTATGCAAATCAGGCTCAATAATTTTTATAGGCCGTTATGCAATGAGTAATAAAATCATGGAATGACAAGGTCAAGTTAAATGTTTGTTTTTTCATTCACGAAATGGGATGATCATTGTAGAGTTATCGTGGTCTCGGGGACACGTCACATGACTGTGGATTACACGGTTCGTAGTTCGAACCCCGCCGCGGCACTAATGTCCTTTGGCAAGATATTAATCTACATTTGCCACTCTCCAGGTGTTAAATTGGTACCCGTTGTAGTTCATAACCATGTATGTACAGTTTTTTTTAAAGATAAAACATTTACTTTGAGTAATATGTTTTTCTTGTATGATGTAACTTTTAGCTAAGAAGGCCCCGTCTTACAGATAGTTTATATTAATCGCAACTATGTACATAAGAGATATGAGACTGCAAACTCAAGCTATGCTTTCCGGGTTTTCGCCTCCTTCCGTATCTGAATTATTTACTGTATACTCTATGTTGAAATAATTGTTACATATATCATGTATAAATACATTGTGTTTCATATTGTACTATTGAGAAGGAAATAAATGTTAATAATAAATTTAAAAATAAAATAAAAATAAAACTTGCGATTGATTAGAGGACTTGCGAGTGATTTGGATCAATCGCAACTCTTTGTAAGACGGGGCCCAGATGTGAACTCTTTCTAATAGAAGTTTTAAAATATTATTAAGTTTAACCTTTCACGTTCATCATAAAAGAATAGGAATAAAAAGTACATGCAATCATGTCATGGTCATAATTAAATAGAGTATAAGAAACTCCCCAAAGGAAGTAATGCAGTATTACTGAGTCTACAAACATGTACAAATAGCATCGTTGTTTATATTACATATGCATATTGTAAATGCCTGTATCCGCAATTTCTCATATAAAATTGACAAGTTCTTTTCAAATACAAATTTGCCATCTATATTTCAAAGTTTTACTATAATTCTGTTTTATAATTCGCCATTTGAACTTCTATTACAACTGGATATCCTCCCATAATTTATTTATTTTGTTTTATTGCAGCTCCAGACGAGAGAGAACGAATTCCTGAACATCGGTAATATACGATTACCTTTTTCTCTTTCTCTCATCTCCCCAACTCTCTCTCTTTCTCCCTATCCCTCATTCTCATCCTATTTCCCTATATCCCTTTCTCATGCCATCTCTCGCTCTCCCCTTTATGTCTTCATCTATTTCTATTACTGTCTTCAACATTTCTTCTACCTTTATAATGGTCTGTTTGGAGCCAGATGGGCATTAACTGATACTTTGACACACTTTAACGCCTTCTTACCACACCCCTATTGTCTTGCCGTGATGATTTTGTATTGCTTTCAAATGGTGTTCAATGAAAGTATGCCATGAGTGAAAGTCATCAGGTTGCCTTTAAATTTAAGCTGGATGTAGAACCCATTGCACTATTCGTATAAGAGTAGGGGGAAACCCCGGTGTAATGGTCCACCTGCACACCCCGATCAGGCCGAGTATACGGCATCTGCAAGAATCTTCAGTATTGAAGGAGGCAGATTATCTTGAAGAAGAAGAAGAAGAAGAAGAAGAATAAGCAAACTCCAGGGGTTTAAACATCAACAACCATATTAAAACCATTTTCACTTCCTAGTTTTCCCTCTCTCGACCTGTCTTTTAAAATCTGTCCCATCCCCTTTCCAATCCCTGCACTCTCTCAGTTTAAAATGTTAATTGTTTCTCTCTCTCTCTCTGTCTTTCTTTCGTCATCACTCTCTCGTTTCTAAACTTTTTTTCGATCTCCATCTGGCCCTATCTTTGTCTGTATCTCTTACAATCTCTCCGTGCCCCTCCCCTTCTCTATCTCTTTGTAATTTTTTTTTTCTCTCTCTCTCTTTCTCTCTCTCTCTCTCTCTCTCTCTCTCACTTCCTCTCATTTCCTGTATCTATATTACATAGCAAACGCATTCACAGCGACGACGATGATAATGATGACGATGACGACGACGATGATGATGATGACGACGATGATGGCGATGATGATGATGATGACGATGATGATGATGATGATGGTGATAGAGTCGATGAGAGCCTGGAACAACCTCCTAGAAAACGACGAGCTAAGACGGATCGTCAACCTACCTCACCTTAGGATCCTTCGGATAAAATGCAATCGCATTATTAAATAACATCCAGAGATTGATTTGACGATAGCGAGAATTTATCTTACACACACTGATGGAATTTTTAATTTCTTGCCATTCTACCTCAAAACAGCTGTCACATATAAGTGCAATCCTAATTTACTATGCAATCTCGTACAAGTACTTTACTGTTATCAATTATGTATTACAAGTCATCAGGGTTTTTTTCTTTCTATTGTCCCATGTTTTGATGAACTTGCTGTTTGTGTAAAATTGATATAGTTCTCATGATGTCTTGCTTTATTTTGTAATAAAAAATGCTGCATTCATCTGTATTACCTCTTTGATCTATGCAATTTTCACATGTTCTATATATGTTGGTTACATTATGTCACTCTTTATTTGTAAATAGATGGATATATGTAGATATCATACTAACTGATTATGAAGTATAACACATGTAATGTTTAATGTTTGCTTTAGGCCATGGACCTATTGGCATTTTTTTTGCTATTGCACGAAATCCTCTGGCAATACATTAATCAACATGTGCCTCAATATAAACCAGATGTAAACAATGTTTACTTGTTATGAAGAAATTTGAATGTCATATTTTTTATAACGTTAGCTAGCCCGGCTAAAGTCGGCGTAATGATAATTTATACAGCGCTGAGAACCATAAACGCTGTATACATACTATAATATGATACTGTTTTACAGCTTAGGCCTGTACATCGAAGCGCTCTGTAAATGTTACCACACCTGTATTATCGATATTGTAAATACCGTTTTTACAGCTGACCAAAAATGCCTGTTCACCTCTAACTAAGAAATGAAACATTTCATTCACCCATTCCAAGGCTTAGAAAACGGGGGGGGGGGGAGGCAGCCCCTCAATAATTTTGGCGGGGGGGGGGGGGAATGGGGGCTGAAGTATCCATGAGCCCCCCCCCCCCCCAATAGAGAAGAGAAGAGAAAAGAAGATACCTCTCCTCCCGCCGAGCCCACCCCCCCCCCCATTCCTAATAATCTTCCTAAGCCTCTTCGCAAACATTATCTAATTTTCAATTATTTTATATTTTGCATATACCATGATGGTTGCAAGGTTTCAATAGCATTTGATAAGCCTTTTTATGTGCGTCTTGAGCATTTAATTTCAAGTGTATAAGTGTTTTGGGCGCCTCACAAATCATATATTTACAATTTTTGTGTGTACGGAGCATCATTAGTTTGTCTAGCTTTGTGTATTTCTCGATATCCAAGAAGAAATCTAGACTTACTTATATGTATACATGTATAAAGCAATTGCGAACGATAACCAGTTCAGATATCAACAGATTATTGTAGATAGCTGGTCACACCAGCAGTCTCTGTATTAGGGTCCCAAATAGGACATCCAAATTGATTCGCGGCTGCTCATATGATGTCATGTATCTCTTACCTATTAAAAAACAAAATTAACTTTACATTTCTAACACATGTAACATTAATAATTTTGTTTCTGTCAATGTAAATGAAAGCAAAATGTGCACAACAAATTACTCATGCGTATTCAGTGAGCGTTGCGTCTTAAGATACAGACATGGGAAGCGTATTGCACATTACACATGCAAGCATTTTGTACATCATTCTGGGACAACATTATTAAAACAAAAACAGCGGTTTTGCCGCTTTATATTCTAACAAATATATAATAATCTAAAATCAACAATACTTATTTATGTATTCATATAAGAGGAATTGGAAGTGATTGCATTTAATGAGTCAGTATTATGTCGTGACAATGTTAAAAAAGATAAAAATACAAAAGCAATAGTTGATATCTTCATTCATAGATCTGATATATAGGAATTGAAATTGGGATTGATTTTAATGAGTCCATCCTAAATATGTCATGACGATGTTAAGAAAAGATATCAAAATCTAAAAGCAAAGGTTGATATCTTTCTTCATTAATCTGTTATAGGAATTACAATTGTGATTGATTTTGATGAGTCTGTCCTATATGCAGAGCTAGAAGAATGTGAGGTATTATGTTTCAAGACAAGCGTGACTTTAGTGCGCTGTGTAACACATTGCATTGAATAATTATGTTTGTTTGTATTTGAGAACATTTGTTAAATAAATCCCACTGATGCCAAACAATACATACGTGTCACTGTTCTTAGTGCATTGTTAACCCTACGTTAACTGGGGGGGGGGGGTCAATTTCAATCCCCCCCCCCCCTGTAGAAATTTCGCGACTTCTCCGAAACCGCGGCAGATATAAAATTTTCCTTTCATTACTTTTTTCTTTTGAGTCTTACGCATCTTTTAAAACGATTTTTTTCGAAAATCGGACGTATAGTTACAAAGTCACGTGACCTTTTGTCTTCGCATGTCAGCCCGAAAATCGCTCATTTTTGTGATTTGTGTACAAAACATATGAAAATGTCATTTTTCCTAAAAAGAGATAAAACATTGGTTATTTAGTCTTGTTTAAAGTTTAGGTGTTTGTTTTGGGGTCAAAATAGTTGAATTGTAGTTATAAGTGAAATACAACAACAAAAACAACAAAAACAATAAAATACATAAGTTAAAAAACAATGAAATACATAAGAAATTATCAAAACAAGAGATAACATAAGGAATAACCTGGCTCTTCCAATTTTTTTTGTGTTGTATTATTATTTCAAATGGTCTATCAAAATAGGGTTAAAGGGCCAGGCCGTATTTGGCCTGGAGTGATCAATCAAACACAAATTGGCAACTCTGTGACGTATCTTGCGAGCTCCCCTCCCATTTGCTCTGTACATAACATTTCATAAACTTTCAGTTTCTTCGTTATTGATGACGGACTAAATTTTGTCCATATATCCGATATAGGGGTTGTATAAAAACATATTTGCAATAATCATATTTAGGGTGCATGTATGATGGACAATGTTCTTAAGGGAAAACACAATTTTTTTTTTTGGAGTACGCAAGGAGCAAATGGGAGGGGAGCTCGGAAGATATCTCACACAGCGTATCAGGAAAACTATCACTGGACAATCGCTCCCCCAAATTAATACCCCCGGAGAACTAGCCCAAAGGACATTCCACCCCCCCCCCCTAGAAAATTACCCCCTGTTAATTAAAGAAGAAGTCCACCCTGATAATAAGTTTGTTATAATGAAAGCATAATTTTTTTCCAGGGAGTTATTGTACCTGGGGATTAATTATTGTCCCGCTGGTAAGTAGCTGGGGGGGGGGGGGGGGGGTAATTGTCGTAGAACCCTCACAGAGTTGCCAATTTGGGTTTGATTGATCGTAACTATACAAATTCATAACCTTCTTTTAAAATTAGGCCTACATGTCTAATTCTTTTTAAAGTGCAATGAAAGGAAATAAAATTAAACAAAATGGTTTGAATATGGTTTTTCTTGTGTGTGTCTCTCATTTTCCCTCCCTCTCCCTATCTCTCTCTCTCTCTCTCTCCCCCCACACTCACACACACTCCCCTTCTCACCATTCAGGTAGTAGGGGTAGGGTAGAATGACGGGAAATGGAAAAGGGTAATAGATCGAGGTACGATAATATTACAATACTGTGGCAGCAGAATGTGATTAGAAGAAGTATTTTATTTAGCTTTTTTTATATAGCGCTTATCAAAGATGTCTCTAAGCGCTTTACAAATATATCATTACCCCGGTCATTGGATTCAGTGCTTGCCCGCACACACTGTGTGCACAATCTTCACTCCCTGGGGAGCATTCCAGCCAGGTGTTTTGACGCTCAAATACTGTTTGACCAACAATGACGGTCGCGTCCTACCGGGTACCAGAGAGTGGGAGCGAAGTAGGAGGTAGAAGGGGTAGAATGGTAATAACAATAGCAACAGTAATATGCCGTTCTTCAATAGTGCATACGTCACATCATAATATAACTTTTCCCTGCGCTTTCAATAGACATTGTATATTATATTTTTACCTCTACTTTAGCTCTGGCAGCCGTATCGCTCATTGCATTCTATGAATCGACCCACTTACTGTACCTGGGTCGGGTGTGAAAAATGTAGATTAATGTCTTGCCAAGCAACGTTAGTGCTGCTTTTTGGGGATTCATACCTTGTAGCTCATAGTCCGGTGATTTATCCACTAGACTGTAACACCTCTATAGTCGAGGGTTCGGCCGAATGGTAGTAGATCAATAATGCAGAGTTAAGATATAGTAGAGGTTATAGTGCGCTATTAGTAAAACAAGATTACATGCTGGTAGAGGTAGGATGGTGGTAGAGGTAGGATGGTGGTAGAGGTAGGATGGTGGTAGAGGTAGGATGGTGGTAGAAGTAGGATGGTATTAGAGGTAGGATGGTGATAGAAGTTGGATGGTGGTAGAGGTAGGATGGTGGTAGAGGTAGGACGGTGGTAGAAGTAGGATGGTGGTAGAGGGAGGATGGTGGTAGAGGAAGGACGGTGGTAGAGGGAGGATGGTGGTAGAGGGAGGATGGTGGTAGAGGTTAATGGTGGTAGAAGGAGGATGGTGGTAGAAGTAGGATAGTGGTAGAGGTAGGATGGTGGTAGAGATATGATGGTGGTAGAGGGAGGATGGTGGTAGAGCTAGGATGGTGGTAGAGGGAGGATGGTGGTAGAGGTAGGATGGTGGTAGAGGGAGGATGGTGGTAGAGGTAGGATGGTGGTAGAGGTAGGATGGTGGTAGAAGTAGGATGGTAGTAGAGGTAGGATGGTGATAGAAGTTGGATGGTGGTAGAGGTATGATGGTGGTAGAGGTAGGACGGTGGTAGAAGTAGGATGGTGGTAGAGGGAGGATGGTGGTAGAGGAAGGACGGTGGTAGAGGGAGGATGGTGGTAGAGGGAGGATGGTGGTAGAGGTTAATGGTGGTAGAAGGAGGATGGTGGTAGAAGTAGGATAGTGGTAGAGGTAGGATGGTGGTAGAGGTAGGATGGTGGTAGAGGGAGGATGGTGGTAGAGGTAGGATGGTGGTAGAGGTAGGATGTTAGCAACAGTGGGATGACATGGATGGTACTAGAAGTAGAATGTTGCTATAGAGGTACTGTATTTATGCCCATAGTAGCAGCATACCAGGAATATTTCTTTTGTCTACCATTTACTGTATATATGGTATTTAAATTCATTTGTACGTTACTCCAAATCCTCCTTCAATTTTGTCATTTCTTACCCGCTGGGGAAGTTTTTTTTTTCTTTGTCGAGTAAAGTGTATGTTGGAATTCAGGGGCGTGAAAATGATTGAGTGGGTTTACCAACATGGCTTGGATGATAGCTATGTGATGGTAGTGAGGGTGATAATAATTGTGATGTTGATGGTAATTGTGATGGTGATTATGTCCATAATTAAAGGGCGCTATATGACTCGTGCTATTACCTCACAAAACCACTCCAAATAATTGTTTTTGTCTCAAAATCAATCTCACGGAGGGATTTTGTCACGAAGACCCCCCCCCCCCTTCTCCTTCAGTCAATCGTTTATTTATTTCATTTCCATAACAAATACAATCAAAGCAAATAAACACTCATACAACAACACATTAAAAATACAAAGTAATCAATATCATCGGCAATCATTTTGTTCACTTTACAATTTAAATAAAATAAAAAAGAACTTAAAAAAAAATTATGTTGGCTTTGTGAGACAAAGTTCCTATTAATGTATTGTAATCATTCTTCTTCTTCTTTTTCTTCTTCTTTTTCTTCTTCTTCTTCTTCCTCCTTCTCTTCTTCTTCCTCTTCTTCTTTTTCTTCTCCTTCCTCTTCTTATGTAATTGCCATAATTGACATTGAGGGTCATTACTCATAAAGACCGCTATTTATTTAACATAATCGGGGTCGCTATTCATAAACATGAAGAAGGGGCGCTATTAATAATTTACACTGGGATTCATTACTCATAAAAACCGTTTTTCGATACGAAACCCCCTTCTCGTAAAATGAATAGTGATCCTCATTTGGTATTGAATAGCGGTCTTTATGAGCAGTGAACCCCAATATAAATTATGAATAGCGGTCCTTATGAATAACGGTCATTATGCCTTTATGAATAGTGACCCCTTTTCGTTTCATGAATAGCGAGGTCCTTCACGTATAAGAAATTCCATGTTATGAATAGCGGTCCTGGTCTTCCCTGCTTATGACTAGCGAGGTTACCCCCAAATTTATGTTTATATCATCTCCCCTCTATTACTCTTTCTCCCATTTCTCTCCCCCGCCCGCCCTTCTCTCTTTGTCCCTGAGGCTCTCTCTCTCTCTCTCTCTTTCCTTCATTCTATTTATCTTTCTCTCTCTCCCTCTCTACTCATTTACATTTCGCTCTTACTACCTTCTCTCCCTCTTCTTATCCATATGCAACTCTACCCAGAACCTATTGCCCCTCCCGCGAGCGCTTCAATTTCCCAAACGATAATACGTTACACGTACTTGCAAATTCACAAGTATAAATGTATCAGCTAAATATATAGTGAAAATATAGGCCCTACTTGCCCATACATGCATGCTTTATACTCCAATATATTTGTTGTTTTTGTGCCTCAAACAACCACATCCACACTCGTATAACCTGTGCACAGACATACACACTGATACTATAGCAAAGCAGCCTGGCATCGATCTCCAACTGCCTCTGAGCCGTTATGCAAATTTTCTATGCAACGTGGGGGGTACAAATGAACAATAGTAATATACCATAAATTTTACATTCATATCGTGTTTGGTGCGCACGCATCTAGTGCACGACCCCGGATAGAGTAAAGTTTGTAAGGGCGTGGCATATACGCGGGAAATGCCACGTTGACGTGGATTTAGTGATCTTGTGTTTTACAGCCAACTGGCTGGTTTGGGGCATTATCATATCAGTTTATACATGTACCTTGCCAATGATACATGACAACCTTTGACAATAACGTTGACGATGAGTGTTTTGTCTTGCGTGTATTCAAGCAAATAGGAGAATGATAAACAGATTGTACTTCACTTCTACGTTTGATTATGGTATAGCAATGTACACGTACGTCAGAATATAATGTGAGTATATCAACCATTATTCCAATATGTGTGCTCGATTTTTCGATTTTGGATTGTTATAATAATTTTATGTAAAGGAAAGTCTCTTTATGTGTTGCTTTATTGTCCTTTTATGCTTGTGTAGTTTTTGTTGTTGATTTTGTTTGGGAATTGGGGGGGGGGTATCTGAATATGGATCCGTCTATTTCAGATTCAATTTTAACGAACGTTATCGGATCTTTTCCTTGTCTAGTCAAAGAATATACCTTTTGCAATAAAGTGAAACTCGTATAAATTTACTTCAAGTGTCTGAATTGATCTGCTCTCTCTTCATCAAAGTGCTTGACTTGAGCATGCTGGCCTGATTTTAGAATTTTATGTATAGATAATAACAATTATGGTATTTAATTTTCATATGCTATATGTTTGTCATTATGATGTTATATATTTGTAAAACTTACATGTAAATGTATATTCATGTTAATTTACTTTCTGCTAAATGAATAAGGGTCAAACTAAAAAATGACTGAAATACCCCAGAATGATAACGGAGCACTTTCGAAAAATTCATGTAGGTTCAAGAGCAACTTCAATACTGTAGAGCTAAAAGAAATCCTGTTCGGATTATCTCAAATGCAAGAGAAAGAAAAAATGGCTTTAAGATAGTTATCTGGAAGTCGTTGCAAAGATGTCATTACGAATCTTCTTTATAACATTTTAAGTGATCAAAATAAAGATCATGTCCTTGTCAATTAACACACTCTTTAATTCATGTTAATTATATATTGTCTCACGAATAGATAATGCCAGTGCACCTAAACATATTACTACTACTACTACCACTACTACTACTACTACTACTACTACTACTACTACTACTACTACTACCACTACTACTACTACTACTACTACTACTACTACCACCACTACTACTACTACTACTGCTACTACTACTACTACTACTACTACTACTACTACTACCACTACTACTACTACTACTACTACTACCACCACTACTACTACTACTACTGCTACTACTACTACTACTACTACTACTAATACTACTACTGCTACTACTACTACTACCACCACTACTACTACTACTACTGCTACTACTACTACTAATGCTACTACTCACTATTACTAATATTAATATTCCTATTACCACTTAAGTACTACCAGTGGCGTAGACAGGTTCGTACACCTGGGGGGATGACTCAGGGGCGGATCTAGCTTTTTGCTAAGGGGGGGGAGGTTGACCAAAATAATGACGATGCGGAGCATCGTCCACGAGCCGCGAAGCGGCGAGCCGATTTTTTTTGGGGTGTTTATTTGAACCCCGTAAGTGATGTTTTCCTGGCATCTATTAACACAATGGAGACCATAAAAAGCAGTGCATGATAACGTCTTTTTAAATCAAGTAACAGTTAAATACACATTAATATCCAGAGTTATCATGTGTTTGGTTAAGTTACCAGATGAGTTGAATATCTTCTCACAATATTTGCTCTTGAAAGGGTTTCTCTCCAGCGTGCGTTCTTTTTTCTTTCTTTTTTTTTGATTTTTTCCCCTTTTTTTGTTTTGTTTGTTTTTTGGGCCGCCCAAGGGGGGGGGGTTAAACCCCCTAACCCCCCCCCCCCCCCGTAGATCCGCGCCTGTTTAATCTTGTGGTTTCCAAACCACAAGATAACCACAAAATACTTGTAAGATTTTCCCTTTTTTACCGTCTGAATTGGCTTTCACCGTGTGAATGCGGCTAATAACAATAAACACAATTACAATAATGATGAGGATTATTATTATCATCATCATAATTATTATTATTATTAATATTATAATTGTTATCATTATTATTATTACTATTATTATCATCATTATGACTTATTAAGTAAGCAAATATCATTTCCCAAAACCTGGGGGGATGATTGTACATGCCATCCCCCCCCCCACCTTGTGAGGTGGGGGGATGCATCCCCCTCATCCCCCCCCCCCCCCCCGCTGTCTACGCCCCTGAGTACTACAACTTTAACTATATAACAGGTACATGTTTGTACTAATAATTCTACTATAGTAGTATTAATACTACAACTACAACATCTGCTACTACTTCAACTAACATTACTTATACTACTAATTATAGTACCAGTACTACAACTACTAATTAGCTACTCCTTATAGTTCTACTACTACAACTGTTTTTTGAGATCGACATGCATTCCCACTAATTTTATTTCAAACCCACGATTATGCTTCCCACATTCCATGCATTTTCACCCTTGATCTCTACCGGTGTATACACCATACAGTCCGGTTCATGCACACTGTACGTAGTACGTACTAGCTATTATCTCTCCCCCTCATTCTATTTCTTATTCATACCCAAACACGCACACACAACCACACACACGCACAACCTCACACGCACACACACATTCTCTTTCAAAGCATATCCATATTCTTTACTCTCCCCCTCACTCACTTGTTTGATTGTTTGATTTTTATTTCTGCATTTTTCAACGTTATATAAAGTAATTTACAAACTAGGTACATTTACTATTAACCAAAGCTAAAAACTCCATATATAATTATATCATACTATAAATCAATTAAATACTTATACCTTTAAACAAAATAATAGGTGACAAACCGATGACTTAAGCTAGAGACTGAACGTCATGGCGGCCTCAGGAAAGGATCCTATATGGGCGACAAAACCTATAACATATATTATAACATAAATAAATTTAAAATAGCAGCAAGATAATAATGGATTTTTGTTCTTTTTCAGGCATAAAATGAAATGCGTTTGGTGTAAACTTGTATATTTTGTAAGGGTATGTCTCTTGTGAAACGTTTTATTTATGTTCCTAAAATTATGTATGTGCATGCGTATTATGTATGTGTGCGAGTGCTTGTGTTTGGAGCGCTTATTTTATCATGACATGTATGCTGATAATAATGCTTAATGGCAGCCTTGAAATAGTATATCGTAGTAGTTGGGAGACTATCCGCGTGTCCACACACACAAAATTTTGTCGTATAGCTATAAGCCGGCTGTCTTGTCAACCGATCTCATCAAACTCAGTTTCTTTATACATTTCTTTATATGATGTTTCTTATCTTGTGTGTGTTGACGCCTTGTTCGCTATACGATGATTCTTTGTACGACGTTTCTTGTGTGTGGACGCCCTCTTCGCTATACGATGATTCTGTATACGACGTTTCTTTATAGAGTTTAGGGATAACTTTGTGTTCGTGTGTGTACACGCTGTATTCCATAAGTAAAGGCCACGGTGTCGGATAGACTAATGCGCAAAATGTAATTCGAGGTTTGTCTAGTGAAAATTCTGAGAGTTTCTTGTCGGATAAGAATGGATTGTGTTTTTTACAACAATCAGGTTGTGGAATGCCTGATGAAAGTAGGTTATTGGAGTATTTGAACATAAATATTGCAACACGCAAAGTATTGATATAAACAAATTGTCAATGTTTTCAGCTTGTGAAATAAGGGTTCTGAATTTGCAAGAAAATAATGATGATATGGTACAAATGCAAATAGCCATTTTTTCCACAAAAATGTATGAGATTTAGTTTTGTCTTCGCACAACTTGCCCAAATATTATTACGATAAGTAATTAATTGCAGTACCATTGTATTATACAATAAAACAAAAATCTTTTGAGTAGAAAATTGTTTCATTTTACAAATAGTTCCTACAACTTTAGATATACACGTTTTAATATAATTTAAATGGTTATTCCATGGTAGACATTCATCATTAATCACTCCGAGAAACTAAAGTTACGCTTTTGTTCTATTATTGACAGGTTATCAATGGATAAGTTAATTGTCACATCTGCAGCTCGGAGTGCATTGGGGTGGTTGA